TAGCAATCTTCGGATTAGAGATGTTACCCCTTTATCACTCTGTATAGATCACTCAGGAACTATGTGATTGGAACACATCAGATGGGTTAGAAGGAATCACGCACATGTCAATCGCAATTGGGTATCAGTATGCGGAACAGCGCGTAGCTTTCAGGCGAACAGATGTACGTTGTCTATTGGAACACTTTAAGGGAGAAAAAAGAGAATCATAACCCAAGTACATGTTGTCATGGTAAGCATGCAGTCACAACAACATTCCTGGGATTATGTATGCAAGATGAATTTATAACACTGAAGTGCGGTCTCTGTTTATGTTCATCTCCCATCCCCCCCCCCCCCCCNCCCCCGCCCATTTCCCACAAACACACACACACACGCCTTCATTCAACTCCAACCGGATAGAATATTCAGTATTCCCATAAGTCTGTGTTGCTTGCGATGATTACTAGATGGAGATTACACTAAAGCAGGGAAATTGTTTCGTACTATTAAACCCAGGGCAGCAGATTAACGAAACCATGAATTGTGAAGGCTTTAATCGCGACCACATCATGATTCGGATCGCCTGAAGAGAAGATAACCCACTGATCACATCCGATCGGGGCTGTGACCGCCAATAATGCTGATTGACGCAACATAATTCGTTTACATCCCTGTATTAATGACTGAAACATCAGATACCGTAAAAGGGATCTCGTTTCTGCATAAATGACCCCTGTTTGAATGAATGGCTGTTTACATTTGTTTGCGCTGCAATCTCGCCTTCACAATCAAGTTGTGTTTAATGTGCCGTGGTATCCGAAGGTCACGGGCCACCACAATATCAGCCAAGCTGTATTCCACCGGGTGCGGATCCTTGATTTTCAGATGAAAACACGATCAACTAGGTAATCAACGAATCAACGCCAACAAGCAATCCAATCCATGTAACGGTTACTTCCTGATCAGTAACAGAAAGTGACCGTTTCGTGTTCACAAACTGTTATTATTTAAACACGCATCACTCATTTTTCCGATCGGCATTCACTGATGGGTGACATCTCATGTGGTAGCTGACAATGGCTTGAAGAAAATCAATGAAATCCTTCATCAGTGAACTGGATCGTCTAGACTGTGTTGTATTTCCGAATACTAGTCCACAAGAACTGCACATACGATTGTTAAAGATGGTATCAAACATCAGTCATGGTGTAGCTGCTGTAGGTGCTAATACGCTCAAAAGAGATATGAAAAATTACGAAGTCGTATTGTAATGAGAATAAAAAATAGCATATCCTGGGTAGTCGAGGTAAAAAATCAGATCAAAGGGAGAACTTACACGAACAAATACTGTCATCGTGTGAGCGGTTCCTGTGGACCACTGTGAAGCATTCCAAGAAAGGACGTATAATGGAATAGGAGACGACCCTGGGGAGGAATCGTCCGATTTGGCCAAAACCGCGTTGCCCAAATGAGTATCATCAACGTAGACCGAAACAAGATCAATGGGCCACTTCGACCACGATAAAATGCTATCAAAAATAGAACAAGAACGAAAAGACATCATCAATTATTTGATAAAACTAACAGTTTGACAGGCGAATAGCGCGCATAGTGTCCGGATATTCGAATGCACAATATTGTGGTCCTTATGCGTACCAGGCTTCATCTACGGTTGAATCGATAAACTTGCACGGTTGATAAGATCCAACAAAGTTGAAACAGCTAGCTTTACGTTGCCTCCCGTTTATCTGTATGCACATCCAAACCGAGACACTGAAAGATTCTACTTGGAACGAATATAATGGAAACGATCGCATCTTGTTCATAGACACACTTTTGCAGCGTTATCTCTGCCATTCTTATGTAGGTGAACATTGCGAACAACAGAGGAACAAATAACAGAACACATCGAGCCGGATAGCAAATAAAGACCTACACAGTGAACAAAGAGGTGGAAATAACAGGAAACCTCAACCCTGCACGTGAGGGATCAAATCAAAGGAAAGGAAAGGTGTGGTGACCTGGTGGGAAAATGATTATTCAGGTGATAGCTGAAATAAACACGAATGCAGAACTCTGGCGTTGGACGCTTTGTGTGATTCTTCCTGTCCCGTTTAGAGTGTTCATGTCCATAACCAAGCGACAAACATCAGGACTAAGCGTATGATTCTTCTGCTATTTACCTTACTTGAGTATACGATCAAAGTAAACGGGAATAAAAAATTGAAATGAAAAAATGAATCCTCTTTTCTATACACAAATAAATTTGACTGTAGGACTGTAGGTAACTTCTTCCATAACCGACTAATTCCTATCTCGTTCTGTAATTATCGATAAATTCAGCTGTTAAATATAATAAATAAATGAGAAATACAATGCATTAGGCAAACAAATAATTTCCTGCCTCGAAGTCGGGATAAAAGCATGTTTGGCTTACCGAATGTGCGTGGATTGGGCGATTCGTGACACGGGTTCCTTGTGTGACAACAGGAAATTTGCATTTTTCGGATTGGTAATCAGGACAATGGGCCATTCTTGATTCGGTTCAAGCATTTGTACATCCACGAACGAAACCAGATCGTGATCCACAGCCACAATTCGATAACTGGAAGGCTCAGGGGAGACACGGAATATGATGAGATACGAAACCATAGATTAGATACAAACAGAGAAAAAGAGTGCGCGTGATACACAGAAATGAGCCTCAATATGGTCAGGTGTGGGTGTCTAGCGTTGAGGATGGTCACCCTTCCCTTGCACCTCGCGAAATGCGCACATAAGACCCAGCGTCTCAAATAACCTCCGATGAGGAAGCCCTATTCATTGCCTTTTCATTGAGGTGTTTTCAACCCAAGTGAGAGGAAAAAATGCCGATATCCGGGCATAACCGGGTTGATGGACCACTAGTAGCTCATCTAGGGGAGTTAGCCAAAAATCCTGATTCCAAACAAACCAAGAGGAGGCGTACGAACCACACCCAAACCTGTTCGATTTTGGCGGTTGTGGTCACCGGCTCGAACGGGTATCGAGGTGTATTGGGCACCTTGGACGTTTGACCCCGTCCAAGGGACATATGATCCAATGAACTGGACACCGGCTCCCAATGAATTGCAGTTTTCACACACCATTCCGCTGTCTTGCGGGTCAGGCTTTAGCTAGCTGAAGGCTCCGGTTGTGGATTCTTCAAGAAAATTCACCTGCCTTAGCCTGGGCAACCTGGCAGTTATTCATCCCACATGCAAATCATGAAACATTTTTCCTTCTTGGAAAGATTATTGTACCATAATTTGTTTGGCATAGTCTGGCGTCAGACGTGTGTGAATTATGAGTGATCGTATGTACAAATCTAATTTTTACAGCAAAATAGTGTTTACGATTTAAATGGAAGAATGAGGATTATGTAATTCAAGTAAGAGCCCGATACGCGCGCAGCAGAAGAGATGATCCAAGGGTGACCACACTGCCCCATAGATACACCGAAGAATATTGTCACCGTTAGACGTAGCAATAGATGCGCATCAATGACCCGAATTGATTATTGATAAAACTCATTTGGATGATTAAACGCGTATGTAACTGAAACAAGCAACAATGACTCTGGTTATCGACTCACTTTCATCAAGTTTGTTAGCGATTGATTCGGAGATATTCTAATGTGGCTGAACTGTGGTGGATCAGTAACCCCAGTGAATTCTCGGTTCACACATGGATACCGTCTTGGTTGCTGTAAAGTCTGTTCGTTAGTTCTTAAATATATAAATATGTCACTGACTTAATAATAAGCATGACAGCAACACAACAATAATCATAACGGAGAGGTATTTGGGTACAAATGAGGGAGATGAAAATGAGGACAAACATATTGCAAACAACAACAGGAATAACAATAGCACTGTTGTTTGTTTCACCGTATGCAATTGATGCTTTTTCATTGGGTTTTTTGTAGTTAATACGCCACTGGATTTCAGCAGATGGACTGCACAGCGTTTGCACCATTGACTCTTACCACTATCTTTCAGCATGTCTAGCCAATGACATTTTTTATCCCTCGACCCGAACTGGAAGGGCTGCACCAACCGAAGCCAATGCTGAAGCTAACTTCTTAATACACAAAAGTCAGGTCATAGGCTGAAGGCCGAAACGCTTTTTCCAGTCTTGTCCAAAGAAAACACGGCAAAGCAGACGATAGGCAGGGATAGATAAAATATGACCGAACCATAAGAGGCAGTGTATAGCAAGTATCAGCGCCCAACACGCGGTGACGAATCTCGTAGTTGCTCAAGGAAATGTTCATTCAATGAATGTGCCTTTCAATAGCGAGGATGTTTTGACTTAAGAAAGTGAAAAGTTAATATCCGGTAATTAATCTGAGTTGATGAGCCACTGATAGACGGCGCGGGGAGAGCTGATAGACCTCACTTCAAATCTTTCGAAAAGAAACCTCCCTATACGTTTCATGATACCTTGGTTGTGAAGATCATTACTATAGATCGACAGGGTCTATGAGGACCTGAAATGAAGGTTTCCGGGAAATAAGTTAGCTCAAAAGGTATAAAGCCTCTGACCCAGACGGGCTGTCTCCATGGGTTTTTAAGGATGGAAGTTTAGCGTTAGTCTTCGGGGTGACGAAACTCCTTGGTTAAATATGGGAAAGGGAACCGGTTTCAACTGAATGGTGTGAACCGGTGATCATACCGATTTACAAGTAAGGCTACAGATCCTATTGTGAAAACCACAGAGGAATTAGTTTAATCAACATGTCTCCATGCTTTTCGTTGGAATTATACTCCGTCGATTGTCTGTGGCACGTGAACGGTGCACGCGTGAGAATCAGGCTGGCTTTAGACCTCGTCGAGGTTGTATCGACCACCTCTTCACTCTTCGTCGAATTCTAGAACATACACTCCATTCGTAGACCCATAATTTCTCTCTTCCTTAATCTGAAAGCGGCTTTCGACTCAGTCGATCGCTCTGTACTCTGGAGTTACTTTTCCCTGAAGGATGTGCTGGAGAAATTTATTTCAATAATACAAACGCCTTACACTAATAGCCGAAGGCAAGTGCGAGCTTACGGCACTTTTTCACTCGAGTTCACTACGGAAAGTGGTGTTCGTCAGAGTTGCCCTTTATCTCCTTTTCCATTAAACTTTGACATAGATTTGATTATGAAAACAGCCCTATCCTCGTGCGAGGATAGCGGCATCGATTTGCTCCCAGATGGTAGACTGTCTGATATGGAGTGTGCAGACGACATTGAGCCAAAAAGTGAAGATCCAGGTAAGTTGCAGACTTTTCCGGGTAGTTTGACTGCTAGTATAATCATGTTCGGTCTGCGTTTTGCACCTACCAAATGTAAAATGTTGCTGCAAGATTGGGTTGACCCGGCCCCCAACCTTACTCTAACTGGGGAAGTAGTGAATTAAATAGACAAACTTTGCTATTTAGGCAGCTATATCTCAATTGGCGCATGTGGCATAGATGAAGTGTCGGCAAGCATACAAAAGGCCCGATTGACATTTGCCAACTTGAGACATTTGCGGAGAAGTCACATCTGACCGTATGCGAAGGGGCGAGTATAAGCTGCAGCTGTTCGACCAGTGCCACCCTACGGTGCTGAGACTTAGCCGTTGCGGAAACAGGATGAAAATAGATTATCGGTGTTCGAACACCGCTGTCTACGCCGCATTGCACGAATCTGGTGGGGAAACCGGACTAGAAATGCTGAAGCTAGACGCGGTTTTTGGTAATTGCGGTCGCTCACTGAAAAAAGTGGTCGACCTACAGAGATTACGATGGTTGGGATGGGTTGTACATATCGCCACGGGGCGCAATGTTTTCCGAGGCAGTTAGCGGTTGGAAAACGGTCAAGGGCGGTCTAAGTAACACCTGACATGGGGGTATCAAAACGCTAACCGGTAAACAATGGGTCCCATAGGTCCTGTTAGGCTTCCTGGATGGGGACCCAGAGATACTGGCAATCGGTGGTTCCAGACACTGAGTGATGTGGCTGAGTGTTGAAAACAGTGGCCCTCGTGCATCTAATGAATATTCTCGGTCTATAAGAATTCTCTATCTTCAATTTGACTCAGCTCTCAATATTTCAATCTTCATTCTACTCTTTCATTCAAACGGGTAGCGGAAAGACAACAACCCAAAGCGGCGCATGAAAATGCATGGTTATTTGCTATAAAAAACTGAAACTATTGGGTTCCGTCTCGGAAAAGATCAATAATATCGATCTTTTACGCCTGATCGTAAGAACGTAGAGCGTATAGCAAGCCAGGCGACCCGTCTGAAGAGTGCCAATCTCTGACATTGCGATGGTGATAGAGAACTATGGTTTGCTCACAATTAACTTGCAATCACGGAGACTTAACCCAAATGATGGTCTGTAGAGATGAATGTCCGTATACCACTAGGATATCCGCGTGCCCGAGAGACCGAAGTGTGAGTAATACATTGAAAACGATAGTCAAAAATAGAGCAAGTAGAAAAACCCATACAAAACCTGTTCTCAGTTGACAGGGACAAAATGCACCAATGCCGCGTCTGACTTACTATCGATTGTCACGCCAATCTCCAAGTTCCAATTCCAGATAACCCTGTGGTTGCATGGTGTACATTCGCGGTACCCAGTTTAAGAACGTGTGCAGATGTCCACACAGATAAGCGAAACCGTGTTCTCTGCGACCGGAATGAAAAAGACCAGATAGGAGAGATACGTTGTCATTCAGAAATATACGTAAACAAAGATCTGGATGAGTAAAATGGAAAGATGGAAACTTGATTCCAATGTATTTGTATGTGTGATACAATTAGCGACAGCTTTATGAAACCTTTGGCACTCCGTGACTTTCTCAATCCAACGGCGTAAATTTGTCACCTAAAAATAAACAAGTGGTGGTATTGTTCAAAGCACGCATTGGCTGTTAGCAGAGCCTCGTTGATCCGATTACCCTAGTTCACTTTGATCAACTTTCTAGCTCGATTTAGTCATCACACAGAAGTGATTACAGTCAAAGGAGCAAACCCCATAATCCACAGATGTAAGCGGTATATGGGAGGGTAAAAGAAATATTCAAGGTAGAATCATCTTGTTGGTTTTGCGTTTAAAGACAGATGTTTTAAATTGGAGGGAAGACCAAAAGGATGTGTTCCACATGTACGCTGCTCGAGCGAACTTGGAAATGCAACACATGGGGATAATTATTTGAAATGAATGACCAGCCGCTTGTGTACGGGACATAAGAGGAAGAACAAGCGGGATAGGGATGGAAGAGGCAAGTTGCTTAGAACAAAAATAAAGATAGCATCGGTCGAATAAGAAGTGACTGCTCAATGGTGAGCTAGTGACGGCAAGTTACATGTTGGGATGGGTCGTTGATGAGACGAATAGCAGCCTTATGTTGAACCTAATCAAGAAGAGACAAAGAAATTGACGAAACTCCACCCCATACACGACCGCAGTATTAAGGTGTAGGGCTGAGCTTTGTAAATTGGGAGCAGATGAATAGCGAGAAAGAGGAAATAGCGAAAGAGGAAATCGATCTTGCGAGAGGCAAGTGGGCGAGTATCAAAGAGAAGATAAGGATAGTCCGAATAGGTTGTATAAATCTGGGGAACGGAGAATAATAAAGATCTCATGAGGAAGGAAAAAGATTCGCGTCTAAGAAAAACAGCCATAAGGAAGGATTTGCCGAAATTATCATTGCCAGAATTATTTTTGTTCGATAATTAGAACTTTTCCCAGGCCTTGAAAGAGATGAAATTTTGCTAAAAGATAGCAGATTTCTGAGAATCAATAGTTATTGTGATTAGAAGACCATCATGGCCAGATGCATACAGGACGAAAGCGAATGCGTTTTTTTGGAGGAAGTCGTGTGTACCCACATGGTGACCTCAACACGGAGCATTTTCACTTGCTTAAACAATGTCCCGTATTTCTCATGATAGTCCACTACACAGAACAAGTCTGAACTCAAAGATACAAGTGGGCGCGTGTGACCTGATAAGGGTAAACCAAACAGAGGTCGTAGTGAAATTAGGAATCAAGAGAAAAAGTTGGATTTCACAAAAGTGTTTTTCAGTGCGATGCAAGCTAGGTATTGAAAAAGTGCACTAAGAAAATTATGATTACGAGTACGGATACTCTTGGTTTGGGAAACTTCGTACACCGCAATCTGGCACTCGGGTTGAATGGTAGTTAGGTGATTCACACTTTCCAATCGAAAGCGGAACTCTGATTATGAACATTAAATTACTATCCGTCAAGATGTGATCTTGAACGAATAATGTTGAGCAAACACCAGGTGTAATCGAATGGGCCGAGTAAACAGTACATCAGTTCCAGAAGCCTTTATCAAGGAGGAAAGTTTGTACTTCAATAAACCGACCGTTATCCGAGGATTGACCAGTAAAACGGGGAAATACAGACAAAATGTACTTTTATATTATTGGGTGTTAGTAATTCACTTCGAATGACTGAAAGCATTCAACTGAACAATACACATCTGTGGTGCCCAGTGAATCAATGACCAAACCGATGAAACAACTCCGATGGGTTGGGATTGCCATTCACCGGTGTTGTTAATTCACATTACAAACCCGTCTGGTAGACAGTGGATGGAATAAACCCTACAGTAATGACTATGGAAACTGACAACGCTAGTCCTCGTTCAAAGAATAAGCAACAGTTTGATCGAGGCAGTGCACATAGAACAGACCAGTCACCATACCTTCTCGCATTATTTGATCCCCTAATTGATGATGATTATCTCCCATCTGATAGGTTGTTCACACATTACTTTGGCCAAGGTTTCGTACCCCTGGGAATTCTCCCTGGGGCAACTACCGAATGACTATTACTGAAGGCAATATCTAGGAAAAAACAATTCAGCGATTCTGGCCGACCCCAAGGTGAGCTGCTTGGCACATATACCTTCTATGCGAGGTTTGTGGAGGTGAAATTCCAGTTCGATCAGTGGACATGCACTAATGGTGTGCGCTCGAACAGAAATGAAACGCAAGATAAGTGCTACCCGAGAGTATGGTTCTTCTTGTGCTAACTGGGAATTGTGTGCGAGGATGAGGTCTGAATGAATTTTCCTGTTTATTATTACTATTTTGCCACGATCAATATCACCACGTAAGATACTACTAGGACAAAAAAGGTGAGAAATAGAAATGCTTACGAAGGTGATCAGTAAATGGAGAAAGAGAAGAAAGCATTCCACGACATGATTACTGCTAGCGACCTACCCAATGGTCTCACGTAGGTTGAAATTTGGAGAGATAATCGTTGATGTAGGATAATGGCCGAACCAAAACGTGTGATTACTCCGGTCGGTGTTTTTAATTAGTCGGCGAATGGATTCCTCCGTGTCCTGAAAAGAGCATAAAGATAAGTAGTAATAAGCACTAAGGAGTGATAATAAGTGCAAAAGCTCAACTAATTTGATAATACCTCGGATGAACATCTTCACCAATGGATGCGGATTGAGTGGCGAATTCTCATCGCTTTATACAGTGCTAGCCAAAACAACAGTGACAGCTACTCTTTTTCGACAAATTTTATTAGCATAATGTTTACAAAGCTCAATACTCAAAGATATTCTCAATTAGGAAAGGCACGACTATATAACAGACTGGCAAATATGGAAGTTTCATTGGCATGTAAATCAGAAGCGGTGAAAATTATATGGGCGGCCCGACCTTGTGAGAAAAATCCCGCTTCTGCTAATTCGCATCCTGTTTTTTGGCATTTTGGGACGATCCACTGATGCAGGCCAGACAACCATTTGCGATTGGCTATTTGATGTGTGAGCCTACTGCCCCTAAAATGGAGCTGGAATTATCAGCCTCAACAGAAACCTTGAACAACGTGCTTACTGGAACACAAGATGAGGCAGGTGAACCCTGAAATCAGTCGAATTCACCATCCATTAAACGGGACCGAAAGCCACGTTTTTTCGCGTCAATGGGAGAGTGGTCATTAATGACGAGAAATTCAACTTGGATAGATCAGATCATTTGCATTACTATTAATGACACCAAGAATGATGAAACGGTATTTGGTCGAAAATATAAAAGTGAAAAACCAGATATGGTATGGGCTACTTTTCCTGCAGTTTTTCAGTTGTTAATTCTGAACGATAACCGAAATGAAAGGGTCTGAATGAACATACTTAAATATTTCCTTTTGCCGTTTATCAAATCATTGGAATAGCATCTTTTCGACACAACAAAGCCACAACAGATATATTACACTTCACAAAGGTTTGGTCACTTTTAGAGGAATACATGTTTTGAAGTAGTCCACAAACATTCCTGATTACAACCCAATTGAACACCCCTGGAGATTGCTGACCAAGCAGATATATCGAAATATAAAGGAATACAGTTCCTTCGTTGAATCAGACTGTTTAGAAAGTCAAACGGGAGAGTAATTGAACCGTAGTTTTTAAGACGTTTATGTAGAAAAGATGAAGAAAAGATGTTCCGCATATTATATATTATATTAGTAGGATACTGTCTGCATACTTCTGTCACACCCTGCGAGTAAAATGTTTTCACAAAATTAATTGTCAAATACACTCACTTCCTCTGATTCCCTTTAGTTTTGGGTGTCACTGGGCAAATAATTTTCGTTGCAGTGTTCTTATTGTTTAAATTAGATGGGGAAAAATCAATGACGACACTTTTGGCGAAAATATATAAACAATAAACTAATGTTGCACCGATGGATACTTACATCAAACGATTTCAGGTGAGGTCACAAGAATACAATCTACAACCGTACCGAAATGCAACAAAACTTTTCTACAACGGTTCTATCTCTTTCCTAAAAAGAATAACTATATTCCGAGGAATGGTTTTTCACGTATAAAATGTTTTGTCTCAGTTAATTCGTCCATAATACAACAGCATTCTAAACAACTTGCTTCCCTGCCATGTTCATATTCGGCCTTTATTCCATCAAGTCACAACCCAGCTATACGTTTCGAATAAAGAACTCAGTGAGCAACATGAACGCGCTCTAGCTGCGAGGTACCGTGTTCGATTCTCGAGAGTCCATGAATGCAAACTAAAAACTTAACACTTCAAAGTAGGAAGTGTACCTTTTCCCCTGTACTCAGTAGCGAAGTTCTACGTTCTTCACATGAATAACACCGTTCCAAATCGCATATGTCAGCTCTTGTAAGCATGGCAGTTATCAACCAAGCCTAGTTAACTGCGTGCAACCGAATGTTGTACAGTGAACGTCAGACCTTTGCACTGTGGAAGCATAAAGAGTAGAATCGGATGCGGCATCGTTAATCGTTGGTTCCAATCCAACAATGAACTACTCCCAGTCTCTTTCTAGTGAATAACACCCACGTGTACTCACAGCTTAAACACCTAAAGTACTTCACTGAACAATCACAAAATTGCTTGGTGCAGTGAGACGATTTCTCCAGTGTAAGTATAGTGCAGTTAACTTTGGTTCATGACTATATGCTGAGTTTACCAATTCCCAAAACTGAGCAGCCAGAACAGACTGCAGTACACAACAAAATGTAAACTACAACTAAGCAGAAAAGAAAATTTAAATTTCAACTTTTCTTATTTCTAGTAACAAATCACGAAATTAATTTATAGGTGCAACAAAGCGGATCTCAAAAGAAACTCATGTCAAGACGGAGTCTCCGTTGATTACCAGACACAAGGTGTGCCTGCTCAGAGCGTCACATGCGCATGCAACAGGTTTCGGGGAGACAGTTTTGTGTAGAACAGAGGAAGACGGATCTTACCTGATCGATGGAACCGAAAAAATTCAACGGTCTTTTCAGACCGGGACTTGGGCAGGCATCCAAACCAATAAACGAATAGTGGCCAAACGATTTATTGACCGAGAACAAATAAGACTGGGGATGATGTGGACCCTGGATGCCGAATACTCTGAAAATGAATGCCAAAATGAATTCGGATCAAGTGTATCTAGACAAG